GTATAATAACCCAAAAACCATTAAAATATAATTTTAATGATTTAACAGAATTTAAGATACATATAAGTGAATTACTAGAAAAAGGGTACATACAAGAAAGCAATAGCAAGCATACAAGTCCAGCATTTATAGTAAATAAACATAGTGAACAAAAAAGAGGAAAAAGTAAAATGGTTATTGATTATAGAAATTTAAATGCAAAAACTAAAACATATAATTACCCAATACCAAATAAAATATTAAAAATAAGACAATTACAAGGATATAATTACTTTAGTAAATTTTACTGCAAATCAGGATTTTACCACTTAAAGTTAGAAGAAGAATCTTAAAAAATTTACAGCATTTACAGTACCACAAGGATTTTATGAAGGGAAAAAAACTTAAGTATACAATTTAAGTACCTTAATTACTACTATATAGCAATAGTTTTTTTTTGTCTATATAGCAATAGTTTTTTTTTTCAAAACTAGAATTTAGTATTTAAAAAAAAGGGAAGCGTAGAATTAGTCAACCACGATTTTCTTATATTCCCTGATTTTCTCCAATTCTTTTACCTTCCACGATTTACTCAGATTTGTTATATATTCTTTCCCATAAAAAAGGGTTTTTTTAACAAAAATAAAAGTCTCCTTCTACTCCCTTCTGATCGACAGTTCAAACATACCAATAATTTTTCAGTTCTAATTCAACACAACGGACGATGGGACGCATCAAGTATTTGTGATAAATCACGATTGAATTAGTATTTTTCTACGTGATTATTTTAATTATTTTATTTAATATATTTGAATTATTTTTTTCATAATCATTATCTTATAATCTATTATGTTGGGTATATGTTTTTTGTTAAAGCTGAATTAAGGTCGTTTATCAATCACTTTTATAGATTGGATTTGGGTATATTGAGTGGTGTGTTATTTTTTGGTATTGATTCGTTGCTTTAATTTGTAGGGTTTTGTTGTTTAGTATAAAATTCATATTGTGTGATTCTGCTTTGGTAAATGGTTTGGTGAAACGATGGTTTTGTGGTTTAGTATATAGTAAATTTTATTAATATTTTTGGTAGATTATTAGGTGCACATGGTGTGATGATTTGGTGTAATTGTTATTCTGTATTATGTTTGTATAAACACCATAAGTCATAGTTTTTTTTGTGTGAGTGTTATCTATTAGGTCGAATAGAAAAATAAGCTTTGATGATTAATATTGGGTAAATAATTTGGTGTTAATGATGGCATATTTAAATACATTTATTAAACGTCAGATTCAATGAATTTTTTTTGGTCTAACATTAAGTGTAATGGATCAGTGCACTTGAATATCTTTTAGTCCATACATAAACACAATTTTTGAGAATTTCTTTTTGTATGTGATCTGATGTAATTAGTATTTTTTAGGCCTTACATAAACACCATAATTTGAAAATTTCTTTTGGTGTGTGATCTGGTGTAATTGGTATCTTTAGACCTTATATAAACACAAACTTTCAAGCTAATATTTTGGTACATCTATTGTTTTTTGGTAAATGATTTGATGAAAATGATGGTGTAGTAAGCTAATTTAGTCGTCAACCATTTTGTATACCAGCATGATTACCATTTTGTATACCAGCATGATTACCATTTTGTATACCAGCATGATTACCATTTTGTATACCAGCATGATTACCATTTTGTATACCAGCATGATTACCATTTTGTATACCAGCATGATTACCATTTTGTATACCAGCATGATTACCATTTTGTATACCAGCATGATTACCATTTTGTATACCAGCATGATTACCATTTTGTATACCAGCATGATTACCATTTTGTATACCAGCATGATTACCATTTTGTATACCAGCATGATTACCATTTTGTATACCAGCATGATTACCATTTTGTATACCAGCATGATTACCATTTTGTATACCAGCATGATTACCATTTTGTATACCAGCATGATTACCATTTTGTATACCAGCATGATTACCATTTTGTATACCAGCATGATTACCATTTTGTATACCAGCATGATTACCATTTTGTATACCAGCATGATTACCATTTTGTATACCAGCATGATTACCATTTTGTATACCAGCATGATTACCATTTTGTATACCAGCATGATTACCATTTTGTATACCAGCATGATTACCATTTTGTATACCAGCATGATTACCATTTTGTATACCAACATGTTTGCCTTTTTGTATACCAGCATGTTTGCCTTGCGAAAGCACTTGGGATATTCCATCACATGTTTTGGAAGAGGTAATGTTACCTCTAATTGCAAGAAAGCAACCAGGCAGACCACCACATAATGATCGTAAGAAGGGATTCAACAAAAAAAATGCAAGAGAAGTATAGTCATTTGTAGTAAATGTGGTACACTCGAGCATAACAGGAAGACTTGCCTCAAATTTGTGGATCACGCTTAACAATAGTGTGTTGTTTTTATTTTATTTTTACTTAAAACATTATGTAGTTGAAACTTTTAGTTATTGGTTTATTGAGTGGTATAACTTTTCCGATTGCGAGTTTTTGAACTTAAGTTGTCTTTTTATGCACAAATTTTTATATGTAAATGGTTATGAACTAATTGTAAATTTTAATAAATGAAAATAACTGTGATGTCTCTAATATTTGGTGTAGTATTCAAAAGTTATTATCTATTACATGATATTGGTGTAATTATCATTGTAAGGTTGGTGCATTCATATTATATTGAAAGAAGAACTAAAGGTAAATGATAACAAATCTATTGAAAAGTGATGGACTTATGAGATAAAATAATGGTGAATCGAAAATGTAATTTTTTTTTTTTTGAAAAGCACAGTAATAACCATTAATTGGTAAGATAAAATAATTAAATTTTATACATGATTATCATGCCCCCAAAAATAGGTACAAAATCCCCAAAAAATAGGAAAAACTAAAATAAATAAATAATTAAAATTGAAAATTAAGAGAAAAGACTAGAATTAATAAATAGTATAATTATGGTTGAAAAGTCAAAAAGTAAACAATAACTATCAATTTCATAAATTTAGCACATAACCCCCAAAAATAGGAAATAAATCGAATACTAAAATATACAAAAAAAAATCGAAAATTCATTATATGGGCAATAATAATAATATAAAACGGTATAATTATGATTGAAAAGGCAAAAAGCAAACAATAATTATCAATACCATAAGTTTAGCACATAATCCCATAAAATAGGAAATAAATCGTATATTAAAATATATATAAAAAACGAAAATTGAAGATATGGGTAAAAAAATAATATAAAAGAGTAAAATTATGGTTGGAAAACCAAAAGGTAAACAATACTTATCAATCCCATAATTTCAGCACATAACCCCCAAAAAAGGAAATAAATCGAATATTAAAATATATTGTTTTAAAATCGAAAATTAAATATTATGTCATGTTTGTAATTAAAAACTTAGTTTTGTAAATAAAAAGAGTATATACATATATTGTTAATTAAGATCTTAAATAGTATATTCTTGCAATTTTTCC